AAAAAGAAAAATGCTGACGGGAAAGAAAGCAATGTTCATGACTGGACAAGCCTTATGGGTAATGATAAAAAAATACTTTTAAATCATCTTCCAGCAAAAATGAACGAATTTTTGAGGCCTGAAACTGCTCCTAAAGTAATCAAAATCTGGGAAGACTTTGCAGCAGTGTACAAAGAAGTCAGTAATTGGCAGCCAAATACTAGTCCAACAGAATATTGGCTCAAAGCAAAACAGTGGGTCAATGATGTCACTTCTCTGGCTGGCCTACGGGAAGGGTATGAGCGGAAGCGTGTAACACCCTACATGCACATTATGGTGGGTCATATCCCATGGTTCTTACAAATGTATAAAACAGTGAAGATCTTCACAGGCCAGGGTGTCGAAAGAAACGATGATGTAGCTAGGTCGATTGTATTAAGGAAATCAAATAAGTGGGATTCTGTTGGGAATGTACTAAGGCAAGAGTCAAGACAATGGCAGCTGAAAAACATGGAATGCCAGCCCAGAACCTATCACAAACGTAAGGCAGATTACTGGGATGAGGGCATATATAAAAAGAAAAAAGAACATGTTCCACTGGAATCAGAGAATATCCCTGAACAATTATCTACTGGTGACTTAAATGATGTCAGTCCACAGCCTTCTGTCCCTACACCTTTACAGTCAGTTGATTTTTCAAGTATGACAGTCCTGCAGTTAAAGCAAGAACTGAAGCGTAAAGGGATCACAGGCATTACTAGGAAAACAAAACATGAACTAATACAATTACTGATAGCCAACTACTGAGGCCAACTGATTTCCAATTCTTTAATTGTCAAACACTGCTCACAACCTGTGTTTTCAGGTCCTGTGATGGATCACACATGCTATAGGGGAATCTTTGTTTACATTTTATGCCTCATTAACATACAGTAATAATTCTCTGATCAAGCAATTAAAAAAATATATCTGAATACTGAAAGAGCATAGTACTGTTAGTAATCGCACAATTTTTGATAACTGCTCTTTCCTTAGATATCGCTTGTAAAGAGCTGAAAATTGCACAAATTGCTCAAATTGGTCAGCTTTTTCAACTTTGGAATGTAATTTGTATACATCACAATGCCTTCTACAAGTTAACTGGTATACTAATGAGCAAAAATCTAACCAATGACATCAGCAAAGATTTGCGTATATTGTGTTGTTCCAGAAAAATAATATCCATACCTCTCCTACAGAGGATTTTCTGGTTTGAACCCCCTCCCCCTACCCTTCTACAAAGTTCAGTTTAGCTTCATACTTTCCTTTAAAAATTTTGGCTTTTGAGACCTTCCCCCTCTCCTCCTCAGAATTTCCAATGACCCTGCATGGCGATGGTATGGATTATTTTTCTAGAAAAAATATACCATATCTCTCCAGTCAGGGACTCCTGTCCCACACTTGTAACATACTGAATATTATTAAATTTTTCTTAAACATTAACTTATGATTTATTTTGTGTGCCATCATTTCATCAAAATGAATACTCCTAACCAAGATTGCTCAGTTACTAAGTTCACAGAGGAGGAAATAACCAATCAAGCATTGAGGATTGAAAATGGCTGGCGCACAAAATCAATCGTAAGTTTCTCAAGGGGCATCCTTGGTGGGTTCACAAGGATGCCACCTTGAACAGCTGAACATTTAGGGGACCAACCCAAAGTGATGTGAATTTTTACAGGAAATTTTATCC